CAGTGTCTGCACATTCCATGTTCCTACTGTCAGAGTATTTTTGGCAAGTTTTAGTTTTTGCGTGTTTTTTGTCGTATATGAATTCTTTCCAGTCGCCAATTTTTCGACTCTGTCCTGGTCACTCGGCAGAGGACGCGGACCTTGTTTACCCGGGCGTCGTCCGAGCCGGTATGGTTTCGTGTTGAAGTCGTTCATGGTTGGTTTCTGTCGTCTTGTTCGTTTTGCAGACGGCGGTATCTGCACCCCTTCCGTCAAACGCTCCTCCTTTATCCGGACTTGCGACCGGCACAAAGGCCGCTGGATTGCGGTCTCTATGGTGGAGTTAAAAACTTACATTGTTCGATTATATTATTGAAAAAATGAGGTAGTAAATTATGTCTCTCATGGTTTGGACATCTTACTGGTTGTAGTTAGGAATATAATCTTGATATGGTTTTGCAGCTCTTTGTTTGGTGGTTCTAGCACACTCCTGAAAATGAATAAAGTAATATCTCAACCATGAGAGGCATCCTGTTTTTCTTGGAATTTTGTGTAACACTGGAGAAAAGTTGTTAGAAAAATCTTTGCGTATATGGTTCGATGCATTTTCATCTCCTTTTTCCAACGATGAAAATCGCAGGTCTCTATCTCGTTCCTATGAAAAGCTATTCAAAAATTGTCCACGACTACTTCATCTTTGAAATGGACATTAGTGTGTGTTGAAGTAACACTTAGATCTTAATTTTCATGATTGAACATTCAACATTTAGTAGATCTATAAATAACTTTTCTATGGGTGTATGGGTGTGGGTGTCACACCCTGCATTGATGCCCATACCCACACCCACACCCACACCCCATACCCATACCCACACGCCCACACTCACACCCATACCTACACCCACCCTAGAACTCGTATGGACATACACATATTGAAATCGTCGAAATACTCTATTAGAAGAGAAACGAGAAGAAGTCATTTTAATTGGTTCCTACGAATAAGAGCATAGTTGGATATGGGTTTAGAATGCTCGTGGTTGTAACAGTTTGGCTTCTTTCAAATAAGATCGAACATTGTCAGAGGGTATGGATTCGAATGTGAGTTCATGTAAGCCGAATCTACACCCACACCTCACGTCCACAGTCACATCCATAGTCATAGCTATAGTTAAAGTCACAGCAACACAGTCACACATGAGCATCCACACGCACCCACAGCCAGAGTCACATACCAACAGCCACACCAACCACACATGCATTGACACCCTCTGGTATATTGTAGACGAGACTCAAACTGTTATGGTATAATGTTGTAAGAATGGCTATGAGACAGTCTATGTCCGAAGCAGATATAATAGTACCAATTGTTTTTCTTCTCCTATCTTTATGTGAAGTACTTTATGAAGGCATGAGATTTAGAGCATTTACCTCTACATCATATATTTTATTATTATTACCCACCAGCTTATCAGGTCTGCATTATCCGCAATTAATCGAACAAACTGGTATTATGTCATGAACGCTGTTATTATAAATAGAAGTTTGAATTTTATTCTTCTCATTCCAGATTACAGGAAGCAAACGACTATTGAGGCAAATGTCTTACGCTATACAGTATATCGGTATTATGATGTATTTGATAATCTCTGTTGGATCCCTGAAGAAACGCATGCTCTCGTTGCCAGAGAGCAGGCTTACTAGTGCATATAACAATGAGACGACGACAGAAAATCAAGATAGTTTAGAATCTTTGCTGCTTAGAGTCTATTCGCGAACTCAATCATCAACGATGCACCAGAACAATACAACACGATCGTCGTATGAAAAAGAACCAATATCAAACCTTCGATCGTCGGGATTAGGAGACTCTAAAGTTAATGTCAAGCATTTCACTCAGTTCGTCTATGAAGGTGCTCAAATATACGTGTACGATGCTAAGACAAACGAAGAATATAATGATCCAAAAAAGTGGAGTTTCTATTACGTACCGATTCTACAGCCGGTTAAAGCTGGTGCTAAATCTGATTGGGCGTGGGCGCACAAGAATGAAGTTCGTGTTCTGATCGCTCTCGGCACGGAAGAAGTAGAGGCAATGACTCGAGAAGCGATTTCCAAGCGTTATGATGATGAAACGGTATCCAGCTACTCTCGATTCTGGCTCATAGCTCCACTAATGATTGACTCATTGAATAGCTACATCATCACAGGCAGTTCAACACCAGTTGAAGGGGTCGTCTCCTACAATCATGTCAACCCAAACAAATTAGTGACCACGATGCGTTTCATTTGCACCTCCGACGACATGGCAAAAACAATCGTACAAAAAGTGCTGGACGGTGATTATGAGATTGAAGTAGCATTCATGTTTTCCGGCTGGTGGGGTATCAAGGAGAATTCAATATCGATTACTGGTAGTCAATTGACAGCAGTACTTAGTAAAACAACCGCCGATGGAGGTGGGACAAACAATACATACATTCACCGTAATCAGGCATCGAGTTTTATCGGTCGATATGTTACTAATGTTCGAACACTCATCTACATGGAGAATACGAATACGAATCTGAGTGTATTGACTGCTGATCTACCAGCTCGATTCGCTGCTCTCTTTCAACAAGGTAAATATGAGTTATTTAATTGTCACTTATCAAATACTGTTGAATTTTCATTAGGTATGGAAAGTGCCCAGGAACAGAGAATTTTAGCGGGAAATTATAGCCAAGTTTGGAATCCGTCGGATCTCAATCCAGATCGTATTACCAGAGAGCTAAATAAAATGTTTACTTACAATCAAACAGAAACAGAAAGTCATAATTACAGTGACAAATATTACAATTACAATTCTGATTGGAAGTTATCTACTTCGGTAAGTACATCAGCCAGTGCTAGTGCTTGTATTTATGGAAAATTCGGTTGCGTGAGTGGCAGTACGTCCGTTGATGTTGATGTTTCACAAGAGCATCAGGAGGGTAAAACCACGCATGACGTGTACTCATCTAGCGATATTAAAAACGAATTATTGCAGCAAGCGATGGAGATAGAGTGGGAAGGTGAAAAATTTGTGCCCAAGTCGTTTTACGTTTACAAATTGACCGATGTGACTGATCATCTTCAAGTTGCTATCGTCAATAAGCAGCTCTTTGCCGAAAAGTCCAACGGAGCTGTGATCCGAAAGATCAATACAGAACCATTAATCACACCAGCAACCAATAAGCCTCTTCTGACCGGCGAGATTCGACTCTATGCGGGTAAGTTGTTCCAACCGTATCCACGACTTCTATACGATGGATCGGTTCTTTCTTGCGCGCATTATCTTACAAGACTTATTCAACTCTTTCAGTTGGCGGTATTCCTCCTTGGCCATGGCTATTGTGCGATGGTGAGGCTGTTTCACGAGTTACCTACAATCGTCTATTCTCCGTTATTGGAACAAGCTATGGGGTAGGCGATGGTTCAACAACATTTAATCTGCCTGATTTTCGTGGCAGATTTCCCTTAGGTGTCGACGAGGCAAGTTTAGTTGTTAATAACGCAACAAAACTAGGTGCTAGAGGTGGTCAAGTATGGCACAATTTGACACTAGACCAACTACCATCACATGTTCACGATAGAGGAACCTATTCTACTCTAACAGCAGGTGATCATTTACATACCTATAATGATCCGGGACATAATCACGGTGGACACACTGGTTCTTCGGCGTACAGTGAAGGAACCATGACCTTTCATACACCAAGAGGTGGTCGTGGCAATGATCATGGTTCTCATTCACACACTATTTCCACAGATAAAACGAATATAAACATTAATAGAGCTGGTGATCACATTCATTCGATTATCGGTCAAAGCAGCGCTGTAGGTGGTGGACATGTGTTCAGTATTTTAAATCCGTATGAAACAGTGAATTATATTATCTACAGCAATTAGCACGGTTTAAGACTAAGTACTAAAATTTAATCAAGATCTGACTTATTCTACTACTTTATAATTCACATTCATCATTTGTAGTTTTTTGATTTTATTTGAGATTTTCCTATCAGCAGCAAAATTTTAATAAAGATCTATCTCTGAGATTCATTAGCCTACTGTCTAAACAATTAAGGTATAACATGAAATCTTCACGGTTTTGTGGTACCATACAGAACTTTTCCAGTTATGCAGGAGTGAAAAGGTTCTACAGAGTAATCTCAATAATGTCAACAGGTTCAGTTGTCAGAATATTTTACGTAATACCATCCAAGGTGGGTGTGGGTGTGGGTGTGGGGTGTGGGTGTGGGTGTGGGGTGTGGGTGTGGGTGTGGATGTGGGTGTGAGTGTGGGGTGTGGGTGTGGATGTGGGTGTGTGTATTGCCAGTCATTGCACTCACAGCCACAGCCACACCCATCCTATAATGATTGTAGCAGCGTTGCTGCGAAATTGTTCGACAACACAGTTTACGCTCTTCGCATCGAATTATACTGTGTCCAAAAAGTGGACGATGAGGATACGGATAGCCAAGACTCATCCGTTTTTCAAACAAATTGCGATGAAGCTCGCTAGTTTGCTGTGCATGTAAATTTCAACGACAATGGTATAGTTGATGACGATGCAGATCGTTTAGCTCCCGTGAATTAGTATAAAGAAAATTCTCAAATAAGTCTATATGATTTAATTTAAATATTAGCATTCCAAAACTTGATGGTAGAAATTAATTGAGTGAACAACATTGCATACATATTGTCCTGTCACAAGGCGAAATGAATCTGAATCCATATGGTGGCAATGGTCGTGGTTACGTACGAGATTACACAATAGAAGTAGCACACACACGCACCAACCTTTTGAAATGAAATATTGATCTACTATAAACACTACTTTCAAGAGTTGTCTACACTATCTTTTCATGTATAAGCCAGTCCCAGGCCAATCCTCCTCGGTCGTACACGGCCGTGTACCAACCATATACGATGAATAACGGCAACTGTTCGCGTTAGCCATTTACGGCAATCGTAAACGATGCTTTACGCTGTAATACGCTCATTGTAAACAATGATCGGTAAAAGTTGCCGTTAACGACTACCGTAACTATACGGCGAGCGTATACGTGCAAAAGATAAAAAGCTGTAAAGCACCGTATATGTTACCTGTTTGCGGCAGCCGTATCCAGCAATCGTAAACAACCGTTTTTCTAGTGTTACACCCATCACAAACGACTAGCGTAAAAAACCACCGTTTACGGCCGCCGATAAATTACATCGGCTCTAAGCGATAATCCGGCCATTTCAACTGACCAATCAGATTTCGAGATGATATTTCTCAGCTATACAAAAGCTGCACACCGACACATATAACCCTCATTCAAAACAGCGTCCTCAATAACCCTAGCATCGGCCCGAACATGACTATGTGTTGTCCGTCTAATAAGAAAGATAGGCCCTCTTAAAATCTGATTGGTCCATTTTTCGACCAATCGAACGACGAGATTCTATTTCTGAGTGAAGAGCAAGGATGAGACCGATACATATACCCTTCATTCGATAGAGCGTCCTCGATAATCCCAGGATCGGCCCGAACATGACTATGTGTTGCCTGTGTAATAAGAGAGATAGACCCTCCTGAAATTTGATTAGTCCAGCTTTCGACCAATTAGGTTTGAGATAAAGTCACTATTCATTCACCGATTTGTTCTGTCCCACAGATGTGTATATAATTTATCGGTAGGTCGTTGAGGCCATTATCACACCATCAACTTTGCCGTTGGGTAAGTACTTCCCATAAAACTTAGTCCTCGAGCCCTATTTTCAAAAAAAAAATTTTTTTCCAAAACCCAAAATTTTTTCGAATAAAATTTTTTTTAGAAAAAAATTTTGGGTGTTTTGAAAAAAAATTATTTTTTGTCAAAAAGTCTGTTTCTGCAAAAAAAAATTTTTTTTTTAAATAGGACCTCAGGGACTCTGGATAGACCCTCCTGAAAAAGGCGGCCGCGAGCTGGCTTCTTTTACCGCGTTTCCTCTGTCGTATACTGCAACCGTGTGTCGCCGTTTACGGCACGGCGATTTACGGCCGTAATACGGTGCATAGAAATACGGCGTAAATACGGCCGTGTTGCGGTCGTATTTACGCCGTATACGGTCGTATCTAGGCGTCGTAATGTTCGACCTGGGGTGTTGTAAAAAGTTCGAACATGCTCGAAAAGAATTTAACTGAGTTTTAAAACAATTATTTGTATGCAGCGAATTCACTTTAAAACTCTCTATTGCATGGCTCACAGCCGCACAAACTCACGCCAAAATGAAAGGTCGACGTGTGTCATGCGTGTGGATGTGGGTGTGAGAGTGGGGGTGTGTGAGTGTGACCTTTTCTTCTGAGGCATCCACGCCCACACACACACAAAACGCTCTAACGAAATTATCTCTGCATTTCTCTACATATTATTTTATTGCGCACATAACTATAATCCAAATTTCTTCAACAGGAAGTCGATTGCTAAAAAGTAAAGGTGGAGAGTAACAGACGGAACTTGTCTTTTGGTCAGGAGTTGCGTTGGCCTGTTCCTGATTAATTTATGCACGCTTTTGTTTCACCGATTTTCGACGCAGCGGGCTTGACACTTTTTTGAGTTGAAATGAGTACCGTTTCTTCACTACATTACTTACAGCCTGTCCTCCAACCACTGCTTGCATTCTTGTTGTTTTTCGATTTTACCTTTATTAACATGAAGAAAAGATGAAACTTAAAGAAAGCGAAAAAATACGTAGAATCATATTGAAAGGTGTTTGCATTATAGGATCCGAAGTGCATTAGATTGTTTAGTGAATCAACATAATGTGAAAATTGGTCTCAAGATTCAGTCAATCAATTAGAAAATTTTCAAAGCAACCTGATGTTTTTTTTTATAATCTTAATCATGAACACTGCTGTTACTTGTTTCTACCGTTCTTTCCGTCGTTCTCTTTTGTAATTTTGTTTTGTATTAGAAAGGTATCGTTACTCACCATGCAGAATCCATAGCACAGAGGAGGAGGGCTGAAAATAAGCAGCACAAGTGAGCAACATCATGAAAAAGAATAGCACTTAAGAAAAAGCATCGGTTGAAAAAAAACGCAGCCACTTTTACACAGTAACTCATCTGTAACACACTCGATCATTTAACAAACCACAACGATCATCAAAAGTTGAAGGCTGAATTTAAGCGTAAGTAGACTGCCAGTATCATTGTTTTTTTCTTCACTCTATTGCAAAAGATAGTCAATATTCACATTTTCAGAGAGAAAAAATACCGACGACCGAATTCACCAATAGAGAGGATAGAAAATTGAGTAAGCAAATACAATTTTTGTTTTTCTGTTGCATATAATTCTATTTATTGCAATATGGCGATAATCAAAAGGTATAACAACAGAAATCATCGGTAGGCATAAGAATTACGATCATTACAGTGAAAAACACATTTTTGATGGAAAATAATTTTTTTCCATTTTCTTGGAACAGAAAATAAATGAAAATAGAAAGTATATATTGAAGCATGATTAGTTTTAAATGTACATTGTTTTCATGAAAGAAGAGAAAATACAGTTCGCATGGAAAGTTTCACTTATGATATCATAGTGACCATGCGTAAAATAAAAAAAAGGAGTCAGTTTTCGTCGTAGACAGGCATGCCATGGGTCTCTTCCTGCTAAATCTCTATTTTGATTTATCAAGTATTTTAGTTTATTGAGTACGGATGTGACATTTTATTTTGTGCATCCAAATCTTCAAGATGCCAGTATTCAATGAATCTAAGTACTTTTCTCTCAATCACCTTGAATAGAATACAGAAGTATGGACGTTGAAATATCTTGCTGATTCTGCTCACTTACATGTGTACTTCTCTCTTATCTATATTTTGTAACGATTTCAGAAAAGTGTTTTGAGAATATTGAGTTTTTTAGTATAGAGCCATAATTTTTATTGGAAAGGTTGGTCAAAATTAGATGTAAATTTTATCCGAACTAATTATTTGAAATCTATTCCAGCGATAAAAAACGAAAGTCGAGGTTGTTGTAGTCCGAAAAATAGCTTTTGGAAGGTGAAAGCTGATTTTTTTAATAAAAATGAACGTATATGAAATCACTCAGAAGTCTATATCTTTGACAATAAAACATCCTCATCATTTTTTACAGTTCCTAACAATAGTAACATCAGGATTTCAAAAAACTCGAGTATTTTGTTTTTAAATCTTTACATTTTTTGTTATTAGACATTCTAAATTTATGGAATTTCCTACTAAAACAAAGCGAGAATGACAAATGGGAGCCTCTGTTATATCGATGAGATCGAAAGCTGTAGGTTCTAAAAGTAAAGTTTAAATTACATAGTAAGAAATTCATCCTTATGAAAAAGCACTAAAATATGCGATGGAAATAACTGTTAAACGTATGTTTTAGGAAGTTTATATTTGAGTAAAACATAGTGGATGTTGGTCTAGTTTTAAACAAAATAAGGCCCGTCGAATATTGCTATAATTTGCATAAGCCAACAACAATCTACAGTTCTAGGTTGTTTGGACGAGTATAAAGATCTTCGTTTCTCGACCTTTTAAATTGGTTCACATTTGATTTGACTACAGATATATCTAAACTAAGAATTAAGCATCTGTTTTGGTGAGTTGTCTTTCAATTTATCAGGTATTGCTGTCAAAATAGGTAAAAAGCAGTTAATATAAAGTAATACATGAAGGGATTGGCGCATTATTCTACAAATCATACCTAATTCAC